ATGAATGTCTGTTATGAATATCTCCATGGCATACTCAAAGCACTTCAGGGCTTGAATTTTGCCCAGCCCCTAGTTGATAAGCATATCTGATATGTTTTCTTCATGGTGGAGAGCCATGTTCCCAGTAAGTGTTGGGTGATTACATCCTTCTGTTAGATGACTTGCAAGTTTAGAGATGGACATCTGAAACTGCGTTTGAATAATTGATGTGCTTCACTTCACACTTGGAGGAGACTGCCATCTGTGAAGACCTAAGAGAATCATCTTCTGTGAGTGCACTTCTGAACAGATATCAAACCTGTATCTAACAGCAAGAAAATGGCCACTTTGACACTTACCAATACTAAGGCCTTGGGCACCCACTGCTGTTATGCTGACATCAGAAAAAATAATTGATTCTCCAGTGGTACTGTTGGACTGAAAACTGGCTCTAGCACTGATGCTACCAGCACTGATAAAGTCTTCATTTTCAACATGCCCAACATGGATTGAGACTGAGATAAAAGCCAGGAAGAGACCAGACATATTTCCAAAACCAGAGGCTTTACCCTCTTTGTGAAATGAGATTATTACTCTTTCAAACACAGGGTATTTAGACGCTCTGCTAAGGGAATGAATCATGGTACACTGGCACTAATAAAGTCACCACTGCCAACTGTGGACCAATTATTAGTTATAAGATATGCCTTCACAGGACCTTCAAGAATGTCCTCTCAGGGTATCATTGATACTGGCCCTGAAACCAGGTCTGAGACCTTAACTCATGACATCTCTTTTCAAAAGTTGTTGTTCTTCATTGTTGTTGTATTACCCCTTCTCCCTGGTATTGATCAGGGATGTCTCTTTAAGAGCCACCATAGAGCTGGTACAGAAGATCCTTCTCCCAATACAGAAAAGTGACATGCAGTGTTTTAGGCTGACCATTGAAATCTTTTAATAGAAAAACAGGTTCAGTGTGGTTCCCAAAATCTCAGTGAAACAAACACATTTAAATAAACTAATCAAAGAATATTTATTAGAGTAAGCCACATACAAATATAGGTGTCTCATGTAGATGCGGCCAGGTGCAGTAATGCAAAACAGCTTTTATAAAACAAAGTATGCTTTAATTTCAACCATAGGAATGCAGCATGATAAGAGTATTTATCCAGTAGAAGGTCTGAATGCATATTTTTTGCATTCAGGTTTGGTGGTCCTATTTTATCCCTAATCTCAATCTCCGTTCATTGTGTTCTCCAGTAGTCCCTGCCTCATCCTATTCTCTGTTTTTCAGGGGCTTGCTTTATTTTCCACATCAAAAATCTTTGTTCCTATTTTCTGTTTGAAACTCAATACCCACAAACAGTTGAAAATGAAACTTCACAGCATGGGCGACTGGTGCCACCTTAGTCGGGGTGGGGCATGTGCCCCCCCCACCCCACGGCCAGTCTTGCCAACTGGGGGGGTCCCCTCTGCAGCTGATCCTGCAGACTGGGGGGGGGCGTGCAGCCCCTGGGGCGATCTTGTGGACTGGGGGGGATCCCCCTGGATGATCCCACGATGGCTGATCGCTGTGGCCGATCATTTCAGTTGCTTCTGGGACTGACTGTGACTGCTTCTGGGAGCAAGCGCCAGCCTATTGCTGCAGCCACTCCCAGAAGCGGCTGCAGCAATCACAGCGATCAGCTGGCACTTGCAGGGGGGACACTGGCACTTCCATCTGCTCCCCCTGCCCATTGCCTAAGTGGCAAGCGTGGCCGGTCAAGGGGTGCATTGGCACTCTCAGGGGTGCACCCTCTATGCGTTGCCACTGCTTCACAGTGAACGATTCCTACATTTTCCTTTTATGTATGCATAAATAGGGTTTTTAGAAGCTTATTGTCCACCCCCTACACGTTGCAGCTGCTTCACAGTGAATGATTCCTACATTTTCCTTTTATGTATGCATAAATAGGGCTTTTTAAAAGTTTATTGTCCACTTTATCTTAGTATTTTCACTTCTTGACTGGAAATAACTTCTAGTAATCATAGAGTAACCAAATCTATAACCATAGAAAATAGAACATATAGAATGTATGTCCCCGACGGGCCTTCGTAGAACCCTGCTCGTAGTGTGACTCCCCGTTCGGGTGACCCCCTCTGCACCGAGCGTTGGTGTTGCTGCAGTTGAGTTGTCTTCCCCGCTGCGCCGACCCCGCTTCTCTCCTGCCACGACTTTGCTGTTATCCCAGTGGGCGGGGCCAGCTCATCGGTCCCTCGGTGTCCCGGGTTGGCCTCATCGGTTACACACGGGGCTCCAGCCACCCCTACACCCCGGCCTCACACCACCTATGGTCTTCACCTACCTGCACTGACTTAGCGCAGTGTCCACAGACTCCTCCCTCACCCTGACGCTCTCTATTCTTGGTGGCGATCCCGCCCCGAACTCTCCAGGCCGGTGCGTCTTCGGCCTCACCCTCCTCTTTGGCACTTCCCGTGCCCCTTGCCGCAGCACTTACTTCCTGCCGCTCGGGATCTTCCTGGGTGCTCTTGATCCTCTGTTGTTTCCCTGCTCTGGCGCTGCAGGCTCGCTTCTCTGGGGATCTAGCTATCCCCCCTCCTCTCCCGGCCACTGGACGCTCCCGCTCCTCGGCTCTGCAGCTCCTGCCCAGCCGGGTTGACGACAGGGACCGCCTTGCCCACCATTCCTTCCTCTCTCTCTCCGCCGCCTCCAGAGCGGCAGCCGCCATTTTTAAGTCTCCTGGCCGGCGTCTGATGTCACCGTCAGCTGCCGGCTGCAGCTGTACATAGACGCGGCTAACGAACCACGCGGGCTCTCCTTTCCGCGCGGTGTCCTGCCCTCCTGGTGAGTTTTCCTGGCTTCCGCGGGTCCCGGGACAATGTAAAAATTAGTCACAGGTCCCAAGTCCACCAGGGCAAGATTTAGGCCTAGACCAGTCAACCAATCGATTGTGATTGACTGGTCAATCATGGAGGCTCAGAGAGTCAATTGGAGGCTGGGTGGCTAAGTACATGCGTGCATGTGCACCTCTCCTCGTCCAGTCCAGCAGGTCTGTTTGTGGGGGAGGGAAGGAGCAGGGACCAAATTGAGGCCCCCTTGGTGAGGGAGGGAGTGGAGCTGGGGCTGGGGCAGGGGTAGGCCCTGCACAGCCAGGGCATAGGACAGAGCCACAAATGGCTCATCTGGGGGCATGGTGAGGAGGACACATACCCCGGGAGGGCATGGGGGTGTGCCCCTGGATCTGGGGCAGG